AACCCCGGTATCCTTGATAAAGGTCGAGTTCGAACCTTAAAAATAAAACCCGAGCTCGAGCACGAACCCCGGTATCCTTGATAAAGGTCGAGTTCGAACCTTAAAAATAAAACCCGAGCTCGAGCACGAACCCCGGTATCCTTGATAAAGGTCGAGTTCGAACCTTAAAAAGGCAAACCCGAGGTCGAGCACGAACCCCAGCACTCTCGTTAAAGGCCGAACACGCACCTTAATCAAACATCAAATCCGAGGTCGAGTACGAACCCCGACGCTTTCTTCAAAGGTCGAGTCCGAACCTTAATGGAACCCGCTCACAATTTACGAAGTCAAGTGCAAACCTCGACGCTCTTGTCAAAAGTCAAGGTCGAACCCTAGTAACTCATTCGGAGGTCGAGTCCCGACCACATACCCGAAATCGAGTTCGATCTATTGACAAAACATGCATGACCCAAAACTTAAGGGCGGACATGGACCACTAATCCAACCTACTACACTCCGGCTTGAGGTCGGCGCAATACCTCGACGCTAATAAATCAAGGTCATCAAGCCTCTACAGAGTCACTCACCCAAACAAAAGTTTAAAGTCACGCCCGAACCTCGTTTAGCATACAAGGTCGAGTATTTGGTTCTTTGTTCATGTTAATTTGAGTTTTAGATTCTTATTTATGATTCAAATTTTTGTAGTTTAAATAAGTTCTATGTATTTGTACTAATATTTTAATTTTTCTGCAGATATTATGGATCAAATTATAACTTATATTTACACCGGAAGGATGTATGAAAGTCTAGAAGGTGTAACATTTGATGGATCAAAAAAAGTGATGTATTATATTTAATTAAAATTTGCTGGCAGATTTAATAAAAATAATTTCATAATTCAAATAAACCAATTATAATAAGAAAAAATTAATTAAATTATCAGTTATAAAATAAATATGATTAATTAAATAAAATTAAATGGCAGATTTAATAAAATTATTTTACGAATAATTGTATTTTTTTTAAAATTATTTTTTTCACTACAAATTAATTTGCAATTAACTCGGATTATTTATAATATTAATTTACATATTTTTTTTTTATTTTATAAAAATAACTAATATAACAGATAAATAAATTAATTTAAAAACAAATAAAATTTAAGAATTAAATAAGAACACAGTGATTCAAATTTTTGTAGTTTAAATAAGTTCTATGTATTTGTACTAATATTTTAATTTTTCTGCAGATATTATGGATCAAATTATAACTTATATTTACACCGGAAGGATGTATGAAAGTCTAGAAGGTGTAACATTTGATGGATCAAAAAAAGTGATGTATTATATTTAATTAAAATTTGCTGGCAGATTTAATAAAAATAATTTCATAATTCAAATAAACCAATTATAATAAGAAAAAATTAATTAAATTATCAGTTATAAAATAAATATGATTAATTAAATAAAATTAAATGGCAGATTTAATAAAATTATTTTACGAATAATTGTATTTTTTTTAAAATTATTTTTTTCACTACAAATTAATTTGCAATTAACTCGGATTATTTATAATATTAATTTACATATTTTTTTTTTATTTTATAAAAATAACTAATATAACAGATAAATAAATTAATTTAAAAACAAATAAAATTTAAGAATTAAATAAGAACACAGATAAATAAAATAATTTAACAGATAATTAATATTGCATAAATAACACACAATCCAAATAAATAATTTAAATATAAAATAACTTTATTATTTCAAATAAACCAATTATAATGAGAAAAATTAAATAAATTATCAGTTATAACCAACTTAAAATAAATATGAGTAAACATAAACAAAATACAGAATTAAAAAATAAATAACAATTATTAACTAAATAAAATATGCAAAGTTAAATACCCTATAGAGACTTTCTTATATATCCCCCCTCCTTTGTGGTAATTCACATCCATATCTGAAGTGTAATTGTTGTTTTTGTTACTGTATTTTGTTATTTATCCACTAAGTCAGTCTGGTTGGTTCTTTGTTCATGTTAATTTGAGTTTTAGATTCTTATTTATGATTCAAATTTTTGTAGTTTAAATAAGTTCTATGTATTTGTACTAATATTTTAATTTTTCTGCAGATATTATGTATCAAATTATAACTTATATTTACACCGGAAGGATGTATGAAAGTCTAGAAGGTGTAACATTTGATGGATCAAAAAAAGTGATGTATTATATTTAATTAAAATTTGCTGGCAGATTTAATAAAAATAATTCGCACCGTATCTATCCCATTCCCAAAGCGATGGGACAAATATTGGGTCCGAGAAGGCCCCTGCGATGAGCCCGGAAGCCTGCACCTCAGGATCAGCGGCATTTCCCGCCTGCACCTCAGGCTCAGCAGCTTTACCCGCCTGCAACTCAGGCCCAGAGGCATTTCCTGCCTACAAAAAATCACCCAGATCAAACAGCCAGGCAACATAGCAAAAAGCCAGAGTGAAAAGTCCGAAAAGACAATACTTACCACCTTGGCAACTCGGACGGTCTGCTCGGAAACGCAGACCTCCACCTCAGCAACGCCAACCCCGCCTGCAAAGGGATCCATAACGCCTCAAGAAACAAAGACGGGGAATTAACACGGAAAACGCGTGCATATGATAAGCTACTCACCTTGGCGTCCGGTGCAGTAAGCCCGACACCCTGCACCACCTCTGCCGCAGCCACTGGCGAGGCCTCGGAGGGCTGTCGGTGAGATCCACAGCGTCCACAACCCAGGAGGTCGCCTCCTCGACATCGTGAGAAGCGGAGGTCCCCCCGACCTCCTCCTTCCCCCTCTTCCTCTTCTGGTGGGTCTTTAGGGAGACAGCATCCTCCTCCGGAGGCTCGGGAACCTCGAGCTCGGAAACATTGTAGCGGTGTTTAAGCTGACGCCACAAGTTTCTGCCCATAATGCCTGCAGAAAAGAAACAGAAACACATCAATAACCGGCAACTACACAAGTCCTAAAAACCTACCAGAGCACATAATACTCACTCTCTAGGCCCCTCTCCCTGAAAGGCGAATTCGCAAGCGACAAGACGAGCTTGCAATCCAACGGACGAGGGAGCGCGGCAAGATTCTTGATGGCGGCCGTCTCCGCGGCCGTCACCTTCAGATCCCCCAAACCGTGAAACCGGGACGGCTTGGGACACCAATAGAATGGAAACCTCGGCAAACCGCCGAAGTAGAACACCTCGTCTTCCAAAGGGTCAACACCCACAAGGGCGACCCGGAAAAACTCCTGCTTGAAATTTTTGTACGATTGGGAGTAGGGAGTAAACAAGCCCCCATCCCTACTCCCGCTCAGGGACAAAATGCCATAAGGCGGAACGCCCATCTTCAACTGATAAAAATGAAGAAAGACGCGAAGAGACACCTCTATACCTAGAACTGTACACAGGACCTGAAAAGCCCTCAAAAAACCCCAACTATTGGGATGCAACTGGCAAGGAACCGCGTTGATGAAATTCAAAAAATCGCACTCAAACTGGGTAAAAGGAAGAGAGACACCGAAATCCCTAAAAAAACATTGATATACATAGAAATGAGGGGAATCAGTAGACCTCCCCATATACACGCCCTCATCAGCCTGACAGGGCTCAAGCCGAATCATGTGAGAAATGGAGGAATCGCAAACCCTATGCGCTCTCCGAAACTCATTCACTTCGAGGAAAGAGCGAAAAATGCTCTGAGCCTCGGCCACCTCGCGTTTGACCCAGTCGTAACCAGGAACGCCCGGCTCTGGGCCCCTAGGCGGCGGCGAATCTTTCTTCTCAACAGTGACCCTTCCGGCGGCCACCACCTTGCCACGCGCCTTGCCCCTGGCAGACGCAGAGGATCCGGCACCACTTCCACCGGCCATGAAAAAAGAGAAGAAGCAAATAAAAAGGAAGTACCTGGTACTCCTCCTCAGAAAACAACCCTAACAAAGAAGGGACTACCGGAAACGACGACGGCGACGGAAGCGCAAAAGAGAAAGGAGGTAAAGGGAACCAAGAAAAGCTCTCGTACTCGAGAAGTCAGAAGAAAGACAGGGAAGAGGCGCGAGAAGAGAGAAAGGCTAAAACTCTCCCCGAAATTCAAAACCGACGCGACACGTGTCAGTTGAAAGGCACACCCGACGACACACTTATTACCAAACCATCATTAAAAAACCGTCACTGCCCCCAATACGTCAATCAAACGTCTCCAGAGCATGAACAGTCGCGACACGTGGCGAGCCTCCAGCTAGCGTACGCGCAAAGCCACCTCTCCTCTCACGAGCCCGACCTTAACTCCTCGGCCTACGGCCTTCGGAGCTCGGGGGGCTAGTGTACTGACCGCATTTCGCACCCGGGCTCTCAGCCCAGGTTGACATTATAAGGGTCATCCCGAACACGCGTTGAACAACGTCAGCCCGGAATCTGAACAGATCACGCCCGAGCCCGGAGATCTCGTCCCAGGCCAAAACCGTTCTCCAATTATACCATATTATGTCACAACGTGATCATACCATATTATATGATATCGTATCATATCATATCTTATCTAGGCCCAAGACAACCCTAACTCACACAAAGGTATGTGCATTATATATATACGAGACTCACACTCATACAAACCCTAACTTTAGCATCGGAGTCTCTTTTGCAGGTACCTCCCCCATCTCGGAGCACTAATACACCCAGCGAAGGAGGCACCACCAATCTTACCCGACGGATCAGCTCTACAGCAGATTTCCGGTAAGAACAGGAAACAAATTAATTTTTCTAAAAGAAAATGAAGGCATATCAGCGTCCTAGATGAGGAGTGTCCATGTTGTCAGATTATAATTGCTTAGCATGGTGCCAATAAAAAGTTAAAGGCCAAACAGGTAATCGAAGCATCCTAAAATCCCTCAGCTAGATCAACAAACCAAAAGGTGACGGTCTAACATACAGAAGTACCAAACTAAAATGAAACAGATTATTTATTTATTTTCATTTTCTTCCTTGGCTATGCAATAACTAAGTAACAGATGAAAGTTCAAACAAAACATTTGTACTTCCCATGACCTAAAGTGATTCCTATTAAGGTTTGTTATCCCAAAATAAATAAATGGCGGATAACCTTCAGGATCTTAATTAAAATAAAGAACTGAGAAAAAAGAAAATTCCAAGCAGGAAAGAGAATTTATATCCAGAGAAGCAAAGCCTAAAATATCATAAACCTGATGCTGGGAGAAATTCTAACAGTTTCTTCACCTTTAACCCTAACATCATTCACGATGTAACCTGTGCTAGGTGCTAGCACATCATCAAGAACTTCAACGCTTGCACCTTCTGATAAATTCCAATTACAGCGTACAAAGCATATCTCAATCAACGAGGCAGGAAACTGCACCCACAAGGACTTCAGCTGTTCCTGACGTTCCCTACAGAAGTGGCTATAACAATAAATAATTTGGACAAAAACCGTCATCAAAGTCTCACCTTTCCAACTGTTATTTTCCTTTGTCTCTTCTCCTAATTCAGCATCATCTAGTATCCTCTAAATTTGCCAAATTGAGACGCACATTCCTAAAATCAAGAGAAAACCATTGACTAAATTTTCTTAATTAATCATCATCAGATCATATTAACACAAGAATGGACACAGGGAAGTTGGGAATACAGATGTAAGCACCATTGACGGTCAGCCAACGGCCTTAATTGCAGTCTCAACTACAAAAAATGCTGATAATTACAGTTAGCGAGCACACTCAACAAAAAAACACTACATAAAATCCATGATGTTGGAGGAAACCAAATATTCATATGCAGCTCAATAAGGCAATCAACAAACTCAAGAAAATGACCAAGGAATTTGGATCAGAAGAGCACATTGAGTTATGTCAATTAATTAAGCCTGCAATGATGACTTCACCTGATTGTAACATTAATCTCGGCATCTGAATCACGACCAGAACTGGAAACTATTATAGCAGCAGATTCCATAGTTTTCTCTAGTTGCAATTTGCAAAAGATTTGCATGATAACAACAACAATGCCAGCAAGTTTCCTGAGCTTCAGCAACCAATTCTAAACCAAGATTATTCTTTAAACATTTTTTAGTTCCATAAACTACATACATTCTACAGTGTTAAAGTTTTATGCTTACTTTTTCAGTTACCAATGCTGAAGATTCAACAATGAATTTTCCAATAGTGTTGGATATTGGCTTATGAATGGGACAAAGTATGATAGTAGAAAATTAACTATAACCACATTAAACTGAAATAAAATTTGATAATTCAATTAGCAATAACTTTTCAATCAAATCCCAGTTTTAACCTTTAATTTGGACATTAAGAGCTCTTGTTCCTTTTTAGAACTACTATGGAAAGCAGAGCAGCTAATTGATGTGCTGACCTACTATGGAATCTAGAACTTCTGAAGCTCACTGACATTGTTGTTACACTCAGTCATACTGATTTTTAGCATGCATTTCCCAGCAGCTGAACCAACATAAAGCAGGAACTACAAAAAATTATTTCTGAATATGTGGCATATATGTCCAACAAAGGAACCACTTCCACACAAAAATTTATCTCTGAATATGTAAAACTAACAATGAGACAAAGAAAACGAGGATTAAATAAGGAAATCTATTCCAAAACCTTTGAAGTACAAAAAATGATCATTAACTGCGCATCACACGTTTGGGTTTCTTCACAAAACTCAGGCGAATCTGTTTCAGGCGGCTTCTCTTCCTAGCCATTTTCTCAGGCAAGGTTTCCCTCTTCTTCTCACCCTTGACAACCTTCTTCTTCTTCTTCAAATATCTCGGGTCAACAGCATACTCTTTAAGCACCACAGGCAGCCCTCTACTCTGTGCTTCATTGAATAGAGCATTAGCTCTATCAACACGATTGTGGGCGCCCAACTTCCCCATCAACAAGTCATAAGTCTGAACCCCAGGTTCACATCCATCAGCCTTCATCATAGCAAATACACTCAAAGCATGATCAACCCTCTCAATGCCACACAAAATCTTGAGGAACTGATAGTAAGCCTTCTTATCAAGAAACTCACCATACCCAGCAGATCTCATCCTATCAATCATTTCATCCCCCTCCTCCAACCTAGCAGCCTGATACAAACTCTTAATCAGGACCACAAAAGTAGTCTCATTAGGATAACACCCCCACCGTCCCATGCTACGAAACAACGCCAACGCATCCTCAGTCTTCCTAATCTTACACAAATGCGTTATAAACACATTGAATGTCTCCACATTCCGGGGAACCCCACGGTGCTCCATCTCCACCAGCACCTTCTCCGCCTCCGAATGAAGCCGAAACGGATCCTTCTCGCGACAAAGCTTACACACGCAGTCAAGCATGGCGTTATAAGCCCCAACGCCAAGCTCAAACCCTCCACGGTACATCTCACCGGCGAGCCTCTGAGCTTCCTCGAGCTTCCCATCAACGCACCAACCTTTAATCAGCAAATCACACGTGGCTTCGTCGGGGAAAAACACCTTCGCCAAATCCTTCACCATCTTCTCCGCATAACTCGCGAAACCCTTCGAACAAAGCTTCTCCACGACCACATTCAGCGAAGCGCGATCGCGCTTCAGCCCGTAGTCCCTCTCCATTCGCTCGAAGAACTGGACCGCCTGGTTGGGCCGGCCCGCGCGGACGAGGCGGTCGATCGCGGAGGATAGGGTTTTGGGGCCGGCGGCGGCGGCGCCGGAGAGAACGTCGTGCGTGGCCTTGAAGTCCTTGCGGCGGCCGAAGTAGTCGACGAAGTAGGAGAGAGTGTCGTCGGTGTGAGAGAATTGGGGGTTGGAAGCGAGCCATTTGTGGAACCCTAATACTGTGCGGCCAGCTTCGGGGGAGAGGTTTAGGGTTTGGAGAATCAAACTGGGGGTCGGGGTGACGTGGGAGAAGCTGAGGTGGAGGCGCTGCGAGACCGCGAGAGAGTCCGAGTCTGGCTCTTTAAGAAGCTCCGAGGAGAGGGAGTGCGCAATTGGATCCGTTTGGGTTTGGGTTTCCGACGAGAAATGTCTGGTAAAGAAGAGCGATGAAGGAGTGAAGAGGGTTCGGGAATGGAAATGGGAAGAGGGTTGTCGGGGAAGCGGAGGAGGGGGGTGAATTGGAGAGGAAGATGCGAATGAAAAGGAACGAGAGCGGAGTAAGAGCCTCCGAAGTTGCAGAGACGCTAATGGCGGCATGTTTAGGGTTTCAGAGTGAGTGAGAAAAGAAGGACACGACGACGGAGAAGGAGGAGGAACAACCTACAAGGTAAACGTCGCAACGCCAAGTTAGCCCAATTCAATTTTGGGCTTTTGGGCTTCCGCTATTACATTATTCTACAGAAGACCCAAAAAATAAGGTTTACTATTCACACTTTTTTTTATAAAAAAAAATAAGTATTTGTCTTTTTTCATTTTTCACTTTTAATATTTGAACAAATTTTTTATTAGTTTTAGTTCCTTAAATTTTACACATTTTTACCTTTAGTTCCTTAACTTTTTTCCGTCAAAATTTTTAGCCTTTTTTGTCAAGAATTTTTATTTATAAAGAAAAATTTTAGAAAATAAAAACATATTTAATCTTAAAATTAAATCTATGAGAAGAGCGGGTTTTTTTAGTGATTATTTGGGACATTAGATCATAGGATTCTTGTAATTGTGCCACATTTCAACAAACTGAAGATAATTAATTGTAATTTGAGTCTATTTGAATAAGTTTATTTAAAATATTTGTAGACAAAAATATAAAGAAATTAAAATAATTTTTTTGTAAATTAAAATTAATTTATATTTAAATTATAAATAAGATTTTGGAGAATTTAATTGAGAATAATTGCATAGAATTTTGTTACATTTTCTTGGGTCCTCTTTTTCACTTTCTTCCATCCAACCCCTCTCAATTGGAGGAAGTTTAACTAAATTTACGATGTTTCAATATATTTATTTAACACAAATACAATCTTAACAATAAATCTTGAAACGTTTATTCACTTGATCAATACCAAGTAATCGGATCTACTGCCAAAATCAGAATTCAATCAAAGATAAAAGTAAAAAAGACAAACAAAAATACTGTATGGAATTGTTGCAACAGTAGTGTAAAAGTATGAAAAATGTTTTAAACTGTGAAGTTATACATTTTACTTTTAAATGGATTGCCTTTTTTATTAACTGTTTTTTCATTTCCGCATCTGGAATCACTTACAATTATCACTCTTCTATTTTCAATTTTTATTTAATTTTTCTCTTTTTTATAATTATTCATTGTACTTTTTATTTTTAAAAATAACGAGACATGAAATATGTTTGTTAATATTAATTATATGTGTTGTATACAGTAAAACGTTATAAATATAATATAATTATATAAAACAGCTAATGCTTGTAGGCCAAACTAATTAATTTAATGAGCAGAAAAATGTAGGCACTACCAATATAGTTAATGCCGCTGAGCCAGCTTGATGACAGAATTGACCATGAGTTCATCACTATGAACCGGAAAGTCTTGCCTCATCGTTTAATATTGACCAATGACTAAGATAAAGATTACTTTGCGTATAAATCCCGTTGCAGGGTACAATCAGGATTTTTTTTTTTAATACCAAGGAAAAAAGTATTTCGTACTTGTGTAAAAAAATAATAATTAAATTATTATTTTTAATAAATAGATTAATATTTTTTTTAAGTAGTTATTCTTTTTATATTTTTTCTATTTTATTTTTTAATATAAATTAATAATAAAAAAATACAACATAAGAATATAATTAATTTTAAAAAAGTAGACACCAAAAAAGTTATTCTTGTAACAACCTTATTAATGACTATACTTACTATAATTCAACATCAACTACACAAAAGTACAAGCATCAAACATCGATCTAAGATATTATATAACAAGTGGGTAAAATTTCATGTAAATAGTCATGTATGTAAGAAAACAAAATAACTATTTTTGAACACAAATACATACTTCATACAAAAGAAGTAACCATTGTATACCAAAAAAAATATCTAGTAGTTGGCTAAGTGTCTACACAATACCTAATTACCTTAGGGTAACAACATCCAAAAGAAAGTCACCTCCAGTGTGACTTACCACCAAACAACAAAATGTGGTCTACTAATCTTATCATGCTTTCATATCAAGTATGATTATAACAATCTCAAACTACAAGGAAAAACACACGGTAAGCTTGTGATACAAAAACAACATCATATAATAACATGCAACATAATTAAACAACTTAAAAGGAACATGATTCATTACATCATATCATGTCTTGCCATACAACTTAAAATACTCAAGCACCCGTATAATTTATAATTTTTCAACTATAAACAATATATTAAAATTAAAATTCTAAATATAAATGTTTAATCATATATTTTGTTAAAATAAAATTTTAATCGCTTTTTTTTCTTTCTAGTTTGATCTCTTACTTTATTTTGTTTATTTTGGTTATTAGTATCCTTATTAGATCAAAATATTCTTACAGACAATTTATCACATTAATTTAATATTTTTAGTGATGCATAATAAATTATGAAAGATGTCATCTAAGTCAAATTAACGCTTTTAATGTATAAAAAATGGTGAAAAAACTTATTTAATCAATAATAAGATCACAAAACTGACCCTATTTTGACTAGATGTATTGAGATTTCTAACTTGAGAACTTGCTTTGACTTACTAAAAAACAAGTTGAAGTATACTAGGATAGATCAACTTAACAACTCATTTCCTTTTCTTTTTAATAATTTTCTTATATTATGTTACTTTTTTATATATTATAATTTCACTTTATTATATTAATATACAAGATTTGAATAAAATAGTGATTTTTTTTAAATTATATATAT